TGTAGAGCTTGCTTCGCTCTATCGAATGGTACCCCAAGTCTACTGAAAAAACAAAAACAGCTAACCAATTTGAAATGGAGTTTACCTTTGGAAAAAAATCAAGTTGTGACGCCGTTTGGCAATTACATAATGCTTTTATTCACGCGCACTTCATAGTGCGTAGTGAGAAAGCAAAAATCAATGTATACCTTCCTAGAGAAAATCGTACTTCGGTTTTTGTAGCGTTGTTGAGGTCAGTAGTACGAGGAAGCTTGATTGTGTGCAAATCCAGTCAGGCTCTTTTGTGATTTCGATAAAAGCGAACAGAGATCGTCAATAACAATGAGATGCTGATGCGCACTTTTTGCGGTAAATTTTGCTATTCAGAGTAGCCCAGAGTTAAGAATCTATGTATTAACACAATTTACCATCGCTTTCTAACAAGGAAACGATACTCGGTGTCCGCGGCCTTTTGAGATGAGATGTATACCATTACACTCGTCTTGGAACACTGATTCCGAATCTGACTTCTGTTTCTGCTAATCGCTTCAAAGTTGTTATAATGGACTGCGCGGATTCTGGCTGCCCAGTGAAATATGGTCGGAGCGCCACCGCTGCCGGTGCACTGTGGTCTAGTGGTTAGTGCGTTGGCCTCATGAGTTGATGCAGGTGCAGGTTCGAACCCTTTTGTGTTTTTCTGTTTTGCATTGCCTCAATTAACCTTCTTTCGCATCATCGAGCTAAATGAATGCCCTTACTCTTCAAAAAATGCGGCAATTTGTAAAAAAGATTACTATTTGCCCTAAATTGTATCCAATGATCATAGTTCAAGTAACAAACTAAAGTAACAAGTAACGAACAAGCTTAATTAAGGCAATGCAAAAGTAAAAACACAAAAGGATTTGAACTTACACCTGCATCAACTTATAAGGCTATCGCACTAACCGCTGAACCAGAAGGTGGCCGCAGTAGAGGCCGTTCCAATGACCATATTTCCCTTGAGCAGCCAAACTTGGCTCGAAATTCCCCCATAACTTCTTTCAGAGAAACGATTAGCAGAAACGGAAGGCAGATTTGGAATCAGCGTTCGAAGAAGAGTGTTATGGTATGAATCACGTCTCGAAAGGCCACGGACATTGAGTATCGTTCCCTTGTAAGTTCGCTAATCATGCATAAAGAGTCTTCGCTGAAATAAAAGAGTTTTTTTTTCAAATGCAACTTTGCTTCAAGTCCGATTCGTTAAAAGTTTGGGCTCTAATAAGATATGCGATGCATATACATGCAATCCCGCTCACAGAATGTGCAAAATTTCCTTGAATGTCGCGAAATTCCGAAAACTCCGCGAATTTCCGCGACAGTTCCTGAATCCGGGACATTCCGCGAATTTCACGGAACCACGCGGAACACTCAAACTGTGCAGCGCCCAACTTCTTCGGAACGAGTATATTTTGATCCGGAAAGCAGCACTGTGTTCAGCTCATCAAGGCAAATCTTCTGATGTACATCATATCTTCTTCGTTCCAGTTTTTGTAACTCTTCTGCGGAGGTCCTTTCGCGAGGATGTAACGCAGCGGCCAATAGTACTGTTCTCATGTACTGTGGTGCGCTAAATATCAGATTGTAAAAAAGTTCTGCCAAATCTTCTCGTCAATACCAAGAATGAATGCTAATGCAAGGGGCTGGTTCGTAATGTTTTTAGTGTGCGATGGCCCCAGCTACCTAACACGCTATGCAGCTTAAAAAATGACGATAACTACGAAGAAAATGCCCAAAAAAGGAGGAAAATCCGTTGCGTTTAGGTTTGCGAGAAGGCACATTTTTTAGATATGAACGCGCAGAACTTCCAGAAGCTCGATTTGAAAATCCTTTTCATACTCTATGTATTGGCCAGGTGGAGCAGTATCCGAAAATTATCTTCCCCGGCATTTGGGTCCTTTTGCAAGCAAGAAATAACTGATTGAATTCAAGGTTCAATAAATCGAATTCTCCACATGTCTTAAAGCACAGCCAGCGCGCTTTTGAAAAAAAGCATCCAAGACGTACTTAATCAGTGGCCTAAAGTTGTTAGTATAAATGACCACAATATCGCTAATTGACAGCCACTCATGATGAAGATATAAATAAAACAATTTAGCTCAGCGTCTATTGGCAGACTACAACCTGGTAGTAGTCGCAGACTTCTCTTCGCAAGAGACATAAGCGTTGGTGAATTCTGAAAAAAGCACGTGTTTAAAATTCCACTCGCCGTAACTTCCTTCGGAACGAATATTTTTCAAATCGGAAAAAGCATTGCGGTCAACTTATCAAGGCGAATATTTCGTTATACAGCATGCTTGATTTCAATATTTTTAATTTTCGCGGGCGTTTCTTCAAAAAGTTGTAAAGCAGCGCGCATTGCCCTCAGTAGATTCCGCAAGGAGCTTTTGATAGTATTTCTTTAGGTCATGTAGCACCCGAAAACTAGCCGCAGTTTTCTTTCCAAAGGAAACAGAAGGACTGGTAAATTCTGAAAAAATGATGTCGTTCTAAATTTTACTCCATAACCCTAAGTATGAAGCTCTCTTGCTAAGCAAATATGATTTTCGTAATCAGCAGTTGAATAATTTCTAGCAAGTTTTCCGAGATGTTTGAGTCATTTCACTTTTTCCCGTTTTACGCTCTGAAGCTTCCGATTGATTTTGACCAAAATGCTGACAATCTTGGATTGTAAGGAAACTTAGCCTATAGAGGTTTTCGGACAGGCTGTTTACGAAAATCGTGCTCTTTGAGGAATACAGGTTTTTTCCAAAGGTATGATGAGGAAACTGTAATGAGTCACGGTTCGTAATTTCACCTGCACTTTCCGCTTATCTGTGAGAAAACTTGTCGGTTTGGTTTCTAAGCTAAGCTAGGTTAAAGCTAATAAAAACTGTGCCATCGAATGCTCAGGCTCTGTAAAAATCGCCGAGTTAGAGCCTACGAAAACATGTCTTTATGAATTTTGCCCAAAATGTAAAGATCGTACTTCGTCTATTTCCTCCATGAGTGGTTGTATAACAGCTGATCAAATCTATTTACATCGCCTAACGGATCTTCCTGTGTTGGATTTGATAGTTAGATAGATCTGGGCCCTAGCTACGAAATTGCTTTCATATTTAATTGAGCAGCTGGAACACACGCAACCACCATATTAATACAATGGTGTGACTTGAATGAAGTGAATATAATATTTAGTCATACAATCACTCATGGTGGAATTTCGACGAAGTATGCGATCTTTACATTTTGTGCAAAATTCATAAAGACATGTTTTCGTAGGTCTAACTCTGCGATTTTTACACAGCCTGAGACATGCACCATTCGATGGCGCAGTTTTATTAGCTTTAACCCATAAACCAAGCCGATAAGTTTTCTCACAGGTACGCGGAAAGTGCAGGCGAAATTACGAACTTTCGTGACTCACTACAGTTTCCTCACCATATCTCTGGAAAAAGACCCTGTATTCCTCAAAAAGCACGATTTTCGTAAACAGCCTGTCCGAAAACCTCTATAGGCTAAGTTTCCTTACAATTCAAGATTATCAGCATTTTGGCCAAAATCAATCAGGAGCTTCAGAGCGTAAAACGGGAAAAAGTGAAATAACTCACACGGGAAAACTTGCTCGTAGAAGTTATACAACTGCTGATCACGAAAACCACATCTGCTTAGCAAGGGAGCCTCAAATTTTAGGGTTATGGTGAACAAAATGTAGAACGACATCATTTTTTCAGAATTTATCAACCCTTCTGTTTTCTTTGGAAAGAAAACGGTGCTACTGTTTAGCGCTCCATAACCTTAAGAAGAAATACTAGCAAAAACTCCTTGTGGAATCTACTGTGGGCAATGCGCGCTGCTAAGCATCTTTGCGAAGAGATGTTTGCAAAAATCAAGAATACTGAAATCGGGCATGCTGTATAACGAAAGATTCGCCCTAATGAGCTGAGCACAACGCTTCTTTCAGATTCAGAATATATCTATTCCGAAGGAAGTTACGGCAAGTAGAATTAACGCGTGATTTTTCCGAAATCCACCAACGTTTCTATCCCTGCGAGAAGACATCTGTGGCTACTTTCTAGCGTACTATAATCTACAGGAACAGTACTATCTATTAACTCATTGTCATCTTTTACCTTGGGTAGGCGTTGCGTTATATCCTTGCGAAACAACCTCCGCTGAAGAATTTGAGAAAATTGGAACGGAATATCGAGGACATGCTGTACATCAAAAGTTCTCCTTGACGAGCTGAATAGGCTGCTTCCGCATTCCGAGTATATTCGTTCTGAAAAAGTTATGGCGCTGTGTAGTTTGCGTAAATCGCATGATTCTGCGAAATTCCTGGAATGTCGCGAAATTCCATGAATTCCGCGACATTCAAGGAAAACATTTCGTGAGCGCTATTGTGCGAGTCATTTCCAGATCTTTTGCAAATCTAGCCAAAACTTGCTTCATCTTTCACATGCCAGTGCTTTCTATGTAAAGTATTCCATAGGGTACTTGATTTGAGAACTGAATACAGTTAATTGGCATGGGCTTTATTATCATGGCGGAACAATCATTTTATTTGATAGGAATGCGAAGTTTGGTTTTCCTGAAGATTACCATAACTTTTTTTCTAGATAAACTTCTCATCTCAAAAAAGTGCCCGACATAAATTCAACCAAACTTTGAACGCATTCAGTATTACCTACTCCATTGTGAATATTTCTCTGTTATCTGACCGGTGAACAGGGGCATTTTGCAATGTCTAGGTAAGTAGCCAAAAAGACTTGCCTACTTTTTTGTCCTTCGATCTTTCGTCATCGACGCTCTGAGGTTGCAGCGTACGAGAGTACATCGGTCTTCTGAGCTGATAATTAGCACTCTCGAAATCAACACAAGTGTTATGCAAAAATATGTATTTGCAGATCGTATTGCTCACAAGGAAATACATCTAAAGTTTGGTAGAAAAATCTCAGGGCCTGTCACCTAGAAACTTGGATAAACTATTGTTGAAAGTTTTCATGTTACAATCGCAACAAACTTGATGCATCTTCCCGATAAGTTTGGATTACTTCTTCATTTTCCACTGCTCGATCATCCTGAAATCATAAGATTCATCAAACTCATTGCTATAACAACACCATGCAAAAAAAAGCTACTTCATCTTGCATGGCTCTTCGTAGGTGAAGTTTCGGCATTCATGATCTGTTCCAATTAGACACATGATCTCTCCGGCTCTCGAATCGCATCCAAAAAAGTTGTTCTTTGCAAAACACTGAAAGATCCGATTTGTTGTAGAGTAAAGCTGTGAAGATTTTCATTTAGATGAGCCTAGCATAATTGTTACGAGCATATTAGACAGAAGCCTAACATATTGCTAAAATTGTTATCATGGCCACGCTTTTAAAAAATTACAGAGTAAGTGAAAAAGGGTTCTAGAAGAGAGATGAGAATGCTGCATGCACCGAGTGCAACCAAAATTACTTTTATCATAGAAAAAAGCTCGTAATAGTTGAAGATGCCTAAAGCTTGATTTGGTATTGTTTTGGTTTGAAAGTACATCGTTTTCTTAGTCTTTCTTCCTACAGAACAACCTAAAACACGAAAAAGAAAACCAACTTACGGGCAGCCACTTGCTTTCTTCATACCAGGATTCCAGGAAGCCTTCGCTGTAATTTTCGACTAGGTAGTTACATTTTAGCAGAATAGTTTTTGACTCACCCACTAGGGAAGCGAAGTTTGTAACGTGGATCACTGAGATATTCAGCCAGTTCCGAATTTTCATCCAACTCAGCAGGAGGCTTTTCTGCTGTCAGCTCCTTTTTATGTCGAATAAAAATATTCAGGAAGGATAGCGCTGATTTTTTGCAGTGTAGACTGAAGTTCTAAAATGAAGGAAATGAATAATAGCGCGCAGAAGAAGCTGCAAATCAAAACAATTTTAGCTTATGCTGAGCTACAGTTCCAGGACTGCGCTTTCCTCGAACAAAAGCATGCTTGTAAATGTTAGGACGTACCATTTTGTAAGCAACATCCAAATTAAGCTCAACCGCTAACCGATATGGATCGCTGTTGTCGTAACATAGAAGCGGGTCAAACATCTAAAATTACTATGACACAACTTCTCATCTAAGCAACACTGGAGCTCACCACAGCGAAGGTTAACAGGTATCTCATTTCCCTGTCAGCTTATCTTCCGCCATGCTATTTATGTCGAGATCGCAAAAGAGACAATGAAAGTTGTACACGTCCGTCATGCTTTGCGCCAATACTTTGACCTTTTCAAAGCTTTTGAGCCCGCCAACGCATTTGACGTCAGTATTGTGTTCTAGCCAGCTTTGCGAGTCTGATAATGTATAGACGCGCGGCTTTGCAATACTATTCTGCAATTCTGTGAAAATCTGCTGCTTGTTGAACAACTCAAAATACAAACAAAGACTATCTTCACGTAATTTTTACTTTTTTACAAATGCCGAATAACCTGCATTTCGAATTCCGTGCTTTAACGTATGAAGTAACACCAATACGCTAGCTCAAGATATTGATGGAAGACAATACTTAAAAGTGTCAATGTTAAGGTATTCGACGCAGAGAAGTAAAGTCGGGTGCAGGGTACATGCATGATTTTTCAGCGCTGAATGGATGCTGGACATTCATTTGAAAAATGGCTAGTTTTAGTACTCAGGTTCAATTTTGAGCGCTTAAACATCTTATATATAAAGCTGAATGTCTGTTTGTCTGTATGTCTGTATGTCTGTCTGTCTGTCTGTACGTATGTTCCGAATAGAAAATTCCATTTCTGAACCGATCCGGACCAAACTTGGCACACATACACTTCGGGCCCCGGCGGGTGTCATAGGCTACTTTTCGTCATCGATCGATATCGATTTTATCGATTTTTATCGATTTTTTTGCAAAGTTTGAGCTACGGGGCTGGGAGTTCGCACAGGGGGGTAATCGAGCATGGGGATTCCGAATACAATATTGGTTTTCAGGATTATCGATTACTTTTATCGATTTTATCGATTTTTTTGCAAAGTTTGAGCTAGGGGGCTGGGAGTTGGCACAGGGGGGTAATCGAGCATGCTGATCATCCCCAAGGGGGTGATCAGCATGCTCGATTACACCCCTGTGCCAAGTTATCGATAAAAGTAGTGGACGATCCTGAAAACTAATATTGTATTCGGAATCCCCATGCTCGATTACCCCCTGTGCAAACTCCCAGCCCCGCAGGTCAAACTTTACAAAAAATCGATAAAATCGATAAAAGTAATGGACGATCCTGAAAACTAATATTGTGTTCGTAATCAGCATGCTCGATTACCCTCCTTGCAAAATCCCAGCCTCGCATGTCAAAATTTACAAAAAATCGATAAAATCAATAAAAGTAATCGATGATTCTGAAAACTAATATTGTATTCGGAATCCCCATGCTCACTTCCCCCCCCCCTGTGCCAACTCCTAGCCCTGTAGGTGAACTCTGCAAAAAAATCGATAAAAATCGGTAAAATCGACATCGATCGATAACGAAAAGTGGACTGTGCCACCCGCCGGGGCCCGAAGTGTATGTGTGCCAAGTTTGGTCCGGATACGGCGGAGCCGGGTAAGCCAGCTAGTCAACAATAAAGTGAAGCGTAGTCAGCTGATTGAAAAATGAAAACTGCAGTTTCAGTTATTTGTTTAGCCTCCAAACTTCTCCAAATAGAAACCACTACTTGTTTCAGAGCTGTTCCAATAGACCTTTATACAGAGTGTCCCGAAAGTACGTAAACACTGTTTGATCGGTGAAAACATCCTTACTTTGATGCCTTTCGCGAACTCAAGGAAACATTCTGTAGAGCGAGGTCCAACTTAGATTTTCAGTATGGAGCGAATCACCCATTATCTCCATTACTGCAGGGTATAGCAAGTCAAATAGATTTTTGAAACATCCCTGATACCAAATGAGAACTTCGCATTTTACCGCTTTTTTCATGACTTATGCCACGTAAACCGCAATAGCTGTCTTTGCAATGCTTCTGAGACGGTGATTGCACCATTTGAAAAGCTTTACAATTCCGAAAAGTTGGGTGGTGAAATCAGCGCGCATAAAATCTCTCATGCACCACTTTTTTAAAATTTGGATTTTTTTTAAACACGACTAATCCATAATGGCAAGTCAAAATTAAGTCAGTCTGTAAGTCAAAATTCCTACCGTAATTTCACACTAATGAAGAGCGATTGGTGGTTCACTCCGTACTATAAATCTAAGTTGAACTCAAAATCCACAAAATGGTACCTGAGTGCAGGCCAAAGACTTCTTGGGAAGAGAGATATTAAGAACAAACACTGTATTACTTTCGGAACACCCTGTATTGTTTCGATCTGTTTAGTAGGCTAAGATGTGCAAATCGTCGTCAGTTGCAAATCGTCGTCAATCGTCGTCAACTTCACAGCATTCCAATGATCAACTCGAGTTTTGAGCTGTCTTAGCCATTATCCACTGCACGTGCTTTACTGAGACTTTACATCGCCGCATCGACAGATCCGCAAGGGACGATGTTGAGAAGCGGATAAGACAATCTTTGCAGAAAACTCTTGGTTTAATTTACGCGCCAGAATCCGCTCATATGGAAATCCGTTTCGTTCCTTGTTGTTTGCAGCTTTCTATGAAACGCATTAGCGATGTTGAGTAGCGCTAAACGCGAAAGCTTGGGTTAACCGAAATGCTAATGCTGACAGCTGAAAGATCGTTTAATAGTTGAATGTGTATACCTGTTAATAATCTCCGCAAGGTGAATAATCTATGCTCATACAATACCGCGCACAGAATGCGCAAAATTCCGTGAATGTCGCGCAATTCCAGGGCCGGTAGTAATCTACCCTACCTGGTGGCATCATAGATGCCGGCAAGTTGGCGCACATCGCGGAAAGATGCCAACTCCGCCGACAGCTCGCGGAGTGATTGTTGGGTTTAATAATCTTGTATAATCTCAGTACGCAGTTATTTCGCTCATCAAATTTTGATAACGTAGACAGCCGCAAAACTGCTGTCTCGCGCGCGGTCGAACCTAAGTGTGCTAACTTCAAGTGCTGCCGCGTTACCACTCGACCATTCGGTCAGTCGTTGCTGTTTGCATCAGCGATGTGAGCAACGCACTGGTAAATGGCCGCCTGAAAGAAGGATCGATACATTGCGCGAGAGACTTTGACCTGAAAGAACAGCTGATTGATATGAGCGAGAGAGGGGCGAAATCGGTGCAAATAAGATTTAGAAAGGATTGCAAAAAAAGATTGTGTTCCTTATGGTTCTAAGGCATTACTAGATTTTTTCTCTGTTAGAAAATCGTCATTTTAAACAAGAAAAACTCATATATTGGGAAAAATGAAGGTTTTTGGATGGAAAGTAGAATTTTTTGACATTTTCGCCTGACGTAAATCGTGTGATATCGCCGCAATTCGCAATCTCACAGACGCCGTCGGCAAAGGTGCCACCACCTCGACGTGGTAGGGGCACGTCGAGATGCCGGCAGCTCCCTCTCTCAACAGAGCACGCTATTTCCCGTGCTCTCTGACCTGCCGGCAGCTGCCATCTCGCGGATTCCGGCAACCTGCCGGCAGGTTGCCGGCAACTGACATCGCGAAGTTGCCGGCAGCTCCTCCTGGAATTCCAGATATTTTACTAAAGGAGGAGTTCTGGAGCCGCAGATTTTTATGAAGTTTTCTACAGAGTCAAGGCGGCAACTTTATCGAGAAAATTTTTTGGAAAAAGGCCTGGGACGGCCTAAATTTCGGTTCTTAGTTTCTGGCCACCTCGCGGAAAGGTGCCAGCAACCTGCCGACGAGACCTGCCACCAGGTCGGGGGGATTACTACCGGCCCAGGAATTCCACGGAAGTCCGCGACAATTCAGGGATTTCGCGAAATTTCAGGAATTCCGCGTAATCAACGCGAGTCACGCAAACTACGCAGCGCTATAACTTCCATCGGAATGAATATATTCTGAATCCGAAAGCAACACTGTGTTCAGTTCGTCAAGGTTCTTCTGATGTACAGCATGTCCTCGATATTCCGTTTCCAGTTCCCTCAAATTCTTCTGCGGAGGTCCTTTCGCAAGGATGTAACACAGCGCCTCTCCAAGTAAAAGATAGCTAAATAGTATTCGATATTACTGTTTTGTAGATTGCAGTGCACTAAAAAGTTGCCTCAGATTTCTTTCCAAAGGAAACAGAAGGGCCGGTGTTCTGGAAGAATAATGAGGTCTAAATTTTACTCACCATAACTCTATAATATGAAACCCTCCTGCTGAGCAGATGTGACGTAATCAGCAAATCGGATGATTTCGAGCAGGTTTTCCGAAATGTTCGCGTTATTTCATTTTTTCTCGTTTTATGCTCTGAAGCTCGCCGATGGACTTTGGTCAAAATGTTGATGATCTTGATTGTAAGGAAACTTCGCTTATAGAGATTTTTGGGGTAAGTGACTTTATGAACGATAGCATGTGTCAGCCACCAGATAAGTATCGTATGCGATGCGCTGAACGCTCTGCCCCTGGGTGCGTTAGCGTAGGAATGTGTTGCAGCCATTAGAAAAACTCCCTATATTTCATCCATGCTTCTTCTGTTGTTTCAATCCAAATTTGCAAAAATTTTGTGATAAATTCGAAATCAGATTATTTTTCATTTTGAAGTTCGCAAGCTCCTTTTTAATCTAATTTTCTTTCTTGTTCACAATAGATAGTTTGTTTCAGTTTTTTCATGGAGAATCTAAGAAAAATTTGGTTTTAAAGAGGTTCAAAAGTGTTTCAATTCACGTTAATTACGTTTGTCGCAACATCTTAAGCTCTTCCTTGTAAGCTTAGTGATTATAACTAAGCGATTTTTGCTTTATACACAGTTAATGATAATAACTAGTGTAGATCATTACCTTTGATAATTTCACAAGATTTTACAACTATTCGGTCAAATTACAGAAATTTCTTCAGAATTTATGAGTCACCTTTACTAATACTGAATTTGCTTCGACAAAGGAACTTTTTTTTTTTTCAAAAACTGCTAACGTCAATTCAATTGGCTTTACATGCGAATTTGCGTATGAACTTGGTTAGAGATGTGTGGCCACTC